TGTGTGTGTGTGTGCAAATGTGTGTGCCAGTGTAATGTTCATGTGCACATCCATGTGTGCACGATGTGACATGGACATGTATGCAGGTGTGCCCATGCACATGTACATATTTTGCACACATGTGTATATACGTGTATGTGTATATACTTGTGTGTTTGTGTATGTCTGTCTATATGTGTGGAAATTCATGTGTCTGTGTTGGTTATATGTATGTGTCCATCTGTGTGTGCATGAATGCCTGTATATGTATATGTGTGTGTGAGTGTGTGCCTGTGTATGCCTGTGTGTCCACAGGTGTGTATGACTGCATGTGTAAATGTGTGTGTGTACATGGTATGTATTCAGAGATATGCACGCTTGCTTAGTTAGACATGTTCATGGGTGTGTATGTACCATCACATGTATGCATGCATTTGCATACATGTATTTGTTTCTTCATATAAACAAACATATGTGGTTGTGCACATGTTTATTTTGTGCACATGTATGTGTTTGTGTACATGTGTGCATGTACATTTATGCACACATGCAAATGTATGCATGTATACACAGACATCTTTATATCATCTGTGTGTGTCTGGGCATGCGCATGCCTCTAAGTGTGCTTGTGTGTATCTGTGTGGGTATACATGTATGTTTGTATGTTGGGGACCTGGGAAGGTTAGATCCTTGTCCTTGGGATGAGAACAAGAACATTAATTACTCTGCTCTGGTTATTCTTCTTTATTTCTTTTTACAAGCAGTGTATTTCAGAGGCGGCCCAGAGGCTTTTCCTTTTTATCAGAAAAAGTAACTGTTTTTGTTTTCTTCGAAATGAAGACTTTTGCTTTTAATGTTAATAACACACAAAATTTCAGCAGCACAGAAGAGCAGATGGAGCAAGATGGAGAGTACTTTACATCACACTTAACACCCCGGCCAAAACAATGTGTGCCCGTCCGTTTTCTCACGTCCCTTTGTCCAGGCACACATCGTGTCAAACTTAAACCTCTGGCTATTAAGTGGTGAAAAGTCAAATCACGGAAACACAAGAATATTGGCAACTATAAAACAGTTCGGATCTCTTCTGAAAGGTGCACGATCTGGTGCGGACTCCAGGCTTGTTGGATTTCCTGGCTCTAGGAATTCCCTCCCGTTGGATGCAGTAACGACCACAGCAGCTCATTTTGCTAAGTTCTGATCCATCACTCTGATGACCGCTTGTGAGAAACACTGTAGCGAGGGGAAGGAGTTATTTCGGCGCGTGGTTTCTGTGGCTGTAGGCCGTGGCCTCTGGCTCCGTGACTTCTAGACCCTGACGAGTCACACCACAGAAGGGCACATGGTGGAGCAGAGCTGTGGACCCGCTGACAGCAGGAGGCAGCGGTGGAACGCAGGGAGGGGCGGAGACAGGCTCCTATCTCTAGGGAAGGGGCCTTCCTCCACCAGGCCTCACCGGCCACTGTTCCGCCACCTTCCAAAGCGATATTCCAAGACTGACCCTGCCCGGGTATCCACTAACTGGGCTCCAGACCTGATGAAGGATCAATAGCCTCAGGAACTCTGTCACAGACACACCCAGGGGCGCTTTGTTAATCCCTATGAGTATCTCAACACAATCAAACCGATAACTAAGACAGACAATTGCATTAATGTTTACAGAGCATTTGCTTTTCAGAGTCTGGAAGAACGGTCAACTCATATTAGAATACATTTTCCAGGTGAGAAAACTATTAAAGGGTTAGTATGCCCAAAGTCCCACAGTCAGGAAACACAAACACGAGTTTCGTTTTTGCCCTGTCTTCCACTTAAAAATATGATCATGTTGTTTAAAAAATGGGCTCGCAAGAGATGGAGAGTACACATTTGTATGCCAGGACAGAGAGAATTATAGTCCTGTAATTATGTTGACGATGTCATAATAGAGTAACTGAGAAAGTCAGGACAGTAACGTAGCTCATGGAGTAGGAGTTCCCACTACTGCTTTAGCATCATCCCAGACGAGCGGTGTTTGCAGCAGCCCTTGCTTCATCCTGAGACTTCCGAAGGGTAAGTTCAACACGGGTTGGGTCAGCTTGAGTCAAGCTGTCGCCATGACTCTGTTGCCTTCGGGAAGCTCTAGGACACAGATGCTGTCTTACCTGTCACGGACTCTGGAGGCCACTGCCATTGCTCAGCTCCTGGTTCCTTCCTTTCTTCCTTCCTTTTTTTTTCAGAGTAGGTGATGGACGATTGTTCAAAGTCCCTTCTCGCCTCCCTTTGCGTGACTCTGACCTCTTGTTCTGTCTCCTTCTTCTGTGTTTAAGGACCTCTGTGGTAATACCATACCACTCTGGAAAGTCTGGAATTAGTTCTCAACTTTAAAGTCTTCTTAGCAACAATCTCAACCTCATTGGCAACTAATTTGTAGAAGCCCTGGAATGGGATGTAGATGTTTTCGCGGGGCATTTATTCTGCTTACCATAATAGACTCCAGTCTCCCTTGCTCCCTCTTTTTCATGATGTTGGGGATTGAACTCAGAGCATTGCGCACGCTAGGCAGACACTTTGCCCACTGAGTCACACCCCATCTTCCTGGCAGCTATATGTATATGAGGTAAGCTCTGGTTCAACTTTCTGAGGATTCAGTACAGAACTCCCCTACCCTCTCGGAGATTACCTCTAGAGATGAAGAATAAACTGATAAACACATTTGTGACAAAGTGTCAGAGTGTAGAAGGTCCCTTGAAGATGAGGGAGGTTGAGAAAGATGGGAGAGACCAACGGCAGCCAACCAGGGATTCTATGGAGCGTTTAAACGTGGTAACTCTGGCTACTCCGAGAGGTGTTGTGGGAAATGAAGCCCTCTATGAAATGAGGGACCTGGGACTGAGCATTCTAGGCCAGATGATGTAGAAGTGTGCAGGCCACAGTGTGAGAAAGATGGGCATTTCTGAGGAGTAGCAACAAGCTCGGCATTTCTAGGGTGGACTGCACAAGGCAGAAATTGGCGAGGGCTGAGGATAGCTGGGGTCCATAAACCAGGGAATTAATTCTGTGAGATACAAAGGAATGATGGACCCAATTTGGATTTTGAAAAGATCTTTTTTTTTTTTTTTTTTGGTTTTCCGAGACAGGGTTTCTCTGTGTAGTTTTGGTGCCTGTCATGGGTCTTGCTCTGTAGACCGGGTCTGGCCTCGAACTCACAGAGATCCACCTGGCTCTGCCTCCCGAGGGCTGGGATTAAAGGTGTGCACCACCACAGCCCAGCAGATCATTGTTCTTAAAGGACAGTTAAATTCCCTGAGAACAGGAGGAAGGAAACCAGAGGGACAGCAGAAAAGTGCCTGCATGAATCTAAACATCAGGCAGCAAGACCTTGGATGACAGATTCAAGATAGAACTTGCTATTTGGGTGGAGGAGAGCACAGGAGAAGACGGAATCGAGAATGAGCTTTGCCTGGGGCTTGAACCACTGGGTAAGTGTGTCTGTGTTCCTCAGAGAGATGGTAAATCTTAGGAAGGAATTGGTCCTAAGTGGTGGAACTGATAGATTTCAGGTGTGTTGGACCCCTCTATTAGAGATTGGAGGTTGTGGTCTGTCAGAGAAAGGAACTTTAGGAAAGGCTAGCAAGACCGTTCACTTAAGGAGCCAGCAAAACATCCATGGATGTCCACTGTGTTTTCTATCTCCTGATAGGAGGTCTGAGTGTCCAGCTTGGCTGGGGGCCAGAAGATATTTGAGCCCACTGATGGGGTCTGTATCATTGGAAGTGACTCACTCCAGCAAAAAACAGAGTAGGGGAGGATTTGGAACACATTGGAAGGGATTTTAGTAGCTTTCGTAAAACATCTGGCCCAACGCCCATTTGGGCATTGCTTTGCCGAACACCTGCTCTCAGTACAAATACCTCCTGCAGAAAGATGCCCGTCCCTTCTTCCCATCCACCCACCCAGAACACCTGGACCCGTCACTGACGAGCATTGGCCCTCGGCCCCCCTTCATTTATCTTTCCCTCTCTCACCCCCATCTCTCTTTAAAGTGGATTTCTTTAATTAGACTTAAAATAAGAACCTTTGCTGAATGTCTCCATGTAGGTAGCTAAATAAATAAGCGCAACTGTAGGAACTAAAACCTCTCCACTCCCCACACCGAGTTGTCGCTGGGCATGCTGTCTGTTTGAGTTATATCATTGTGCATATTGCTTTGATAATTCTTAGGCAGGGCAGAGCCACCATCTCTGAGACTGTATTTAGGAGTTAGTGTTCCATGGAAGGTAATGAGAGACAAATGGATCTTAAAAGTATGTCATAAAAAGCCTTTTAAAATATGTGAGCTTCAAGTGCCCATCTATAAAGCTAGTTATTTAAGAAGGCTGCTTTAGAAGCAGTGTTGTGAATTGGTGCAGGCCACCAATAATCTATAGATTTTTAAATTGTTCTGGTTCCACACTTGTTAACAGCGTCTCTGCTGTGGAAAAACAGTTAAGAAATTGACAAGAAAGGCAATAGCCAGCCCTCTCTCTACAGACCCATGGGCTCTAAATAAAATGGTTGTCTTTTGAAAAAACCTCATTGAGTCCCGGATTGATAGAAACAGGCACTGCTGTTTCACTTCCAAAACAAACCAGATAGACTTGTCAGGCTTTTCTGGATGGAGACCAAAGACAAAGAACTTGGTTCTGGGACTGACTTTTGTGTGGAGAGGGTAGCGCCTTGAAAATCTGTGTGAAGTCGAGGCAGCACTGAGAATCATAGTCACACAAATAGCAAATGGGTGGTTCCGGGGCTGTCTTCCGGTATGTGGCCAGACAGAAGGAAACAGCTTACGTGGCATGCAAGAGGGGAACAATGGGTCCCTGTGACCACCTCTTTGACTTCTAGCTCCTGCCATTCGCGGGGGGGAACGTGGCCTTGGAAGCAGGTGGGACTGCTGTTCTCGATTCTCTTTTCTAATTACATGAAGTGTGGAGAAAGGATATTGGAAACAGAGACCCAGCTGTGCCCACTGCCAGTTCAAACACAATGAGGACAAAGGACTCCAGACGCAAAAGGGAAGCGGTTTTAATCTCAGGTGTCTGCACTCTTCTTTCATTATATGAAAGGGAGCCAGCAGCAATAATGGGAGAGACATAATAAAATGAACGGGTCCCCCCTCTTGCAGTGACTCCTGCCACCAAACCTTGAATCACAGTCAGTTGAGAAAAGAAAGCCCACAGGACAAAGAGAGGAAGATGGAGTAGGCAGCTAGCTAGCTGTAGAATTTAAGGGATGTAGGCAAGGCAAATTGGAGTAGGGCCTTTCCTCACGAGGCTGCATGGTCTAAGTCAAAGAGAGATGCTAATTCATAAGGAGAAGCAACACTCAAAGAAATCGTGGTATTTGCCTCACAATGAAGTGAGCTCTCACCTGTTCCTCTTCCCTAATCTGTCTCTCTTTCCTCCACACAATGCTAAAAATAATTCCAGTGTCTGATCAGTTGTGAGCTGTCCACCAAAGTGATTGAGGAGCTACTATCTCAGGGCAATAAAGACAATTCAGGCTCTTCTCTCCATGTGTCTTAGATGCTGTGTGAATGACAGAACAAACTTCCGAACACAGTAGTGCAGACCCATGTTGTTAAGTTACTTCAGTAGCTAAAGTTTTGCTGATTACATCATGGGCTATTTTTAGTAAGACTTCTCTGTAACCATGGAGACTGCTTTTGCTGAAAACTCTCACACTATTTCCTTCGAAATTAGCCATGAAGAAGAAAATCTTTGCAGAAAACTAATAAGGAACAAATGAGTTAGATGCAAGAGTAAAAACAAAAGCAACTTAGTACTCATAAAAAGGTTTACATTCATGTTGACAGCTGTACATTTATTTGGACAGTTACCTTCTGTAGACCTGTATTTACACATAAAACCACTTGAATTCTTACTTTTCTTTTTCTTTTCTTTTTATTTTTTGACTGGCAACAGCCTGAGAACGTGACACAATGTAGTTTATTACCATGGTTCCCTGTGGCATGACATTCCCAAGGGAAATGAGCCCCCGAGGAAGTGGAAAGCTCTGTCTCCTAGCAACAGACATGTTGGAAAGTTTCAAAGGACCATCTTTCTGACCATTGGGGAACTTGCTGGGGTATGAACAATTTGTGTAAAGAGGGAACCCCCCCACACACACCATGCTTGAGAATGCCGAATTGGACCACTTAAATATGGTCATAGGAGGCAAGAGGGCTCGTCAGGTAGCTGTAAATGGCAGTCACTTAATGCACTTGGGTAGTTCTATCCTTTGGGAGGCAGGATGAACACTGTAGTTACAGCAACCCATGAATACATTATATTACATATCTAAAGGGGTTTTGCACATGTAGTCAAAGTTATAGACATGAAAATAGGGAGTTTATTCTGGGCTATCCACATGGGTCCAGTGGTGATGTGGTCTTATGTATAGAACTTTCTTGGCCAGAGTTTGAGATATAAGAGAACGAGATGTCAAAGACATTTCAAGTGTGAGAGAGATTGGACCCATGCTTGTAGCTATTAAAATAAAGGGGGTCATTTGTGAACTGTTCCAATAATGTAAAGGCGAATAGAACTAGAATGGAATTTCTCTCCAAGAATTCTGAAGCAAAAAAAATGAGGGCTCAGTATGACACCTTGAGTTTGGCCTCTTGAGACTCTAAGCAGAGTCCCCCCCACCAAGCTTGCTGGGCTTCTCACCTTGCACAATATGAGACAATGAATTTGTGCTGTGAACTGCTGTGTCTGTGGTGATTTGTCGCTGCAGACACAGGGAAATCATACACCCAGAACTGTTGTTATCATAGAAATGTGGTCATTTCTGTTAGTGCAAAAAGAGAACTTTTGCATGCACAGGGTGGGGTGGGGGAGGCATATCTTACAAATCTCATCATCCTATGTCAAAAGCCTTGAAAATATGATACTTTTGACAGGAATTGTGTTTTTAGGACCATATCTAAAAGATGAAGATTTGATAGAAGCTGATAATGTTTGCAATGTTCTGCACACCAGCACAAAATTGGAAACAGTCTAAAATCTGGGCAATAGGGTTCTAGGTAAAGAGCGAACTGAACATGTATTTACTAGACTGTGATCCCTGTTAAATGTGTGCCTGGTTAAAATAACGGTTGAACTAGAAAAGTAGTCATGGCATATACGATCACAAGGCTGAGGGGCGTTAACTGGGAAATGCACTTATGGATTGGAGAGATTGGAGAATGCTACAGAGTGCGGTGCTGCTTTTCTGTGGATGGGAGAAAACATGCTTTTTACAAACTTTCTATGATGAAAATAACTTTCAACTGGGAAGCCCTCATAAACATCATGAACAAAATAAAAATAAACAAAAGAGCTTGATGCAGAACGGAGCTGCTCCAAGTGGGGTAATTTGAGAGTGTGCAACCAACAGAGTGTTCACATTTAGTGGCTTGGAAACTGGATTCTAGGACTTCAGATTCTTCTTCTCCCTCCCTCCCTCCTTACCTCCTTTCTTCCCTTCCTCCTTCCATCTCCCTGCTCCCTCTCAACAGGATTTTGCTATTCACCCTAGGATGTCCTGGGACTCAGTATGTAGTTATTGGCCTCAAAGTCATCATCTTCCTGCCTCAGCCTTCCCAGTGCTAGAATTATTGGTATGCATTACCAAACTTCCTTCTTTTTAAAATTATATATTTTTTAATATAGTTGGTTTAGGAATTGCCTTTGTATGCTCTTCCTTTGTATTGGATATTAGACCCATGCAGTTGTAAATAACAGAAACCCAATTCAAAGCAGACAGACCCCAAGTTATGTAAAGTTCAGTGACAGATTCTGGTAAGTAAGAGAGGTAAGGCTAGATTCTCATTCTATAGCTTCCATAGTAAAGACTTTAGGGTGTT